ACAAAATACGGGTTTAACAATAGACATACATGCAAATTATACAGCAATAGATGCAAAATTTTACTGGCTACATTTTACTTACCAGCAACGGGAGCCTTGGCCGTATTTACGAGGATGCGAGTACCAGAGAGTAGCGAAACCCATGTTGGCGTATACGATGGAAAAATCGAAAAGAAAGAGGACGGCAAAAATGGCTACCAGACACATGAACTGTCAAATCAAACGTTGCCACCTATCGCAATCTTTAGTTGCGATAGTCAACACTGTTAAGTATTGTAATATTGCCAGATGTGGTGTTGGCCGCAAATCAATTTCAAATTTAAATACCATCTGTTTTATAGGCATGCGGTTGTGTTTTATTTCCAATAAATTAAAATTAAATTAATCATATTTTTACATTTACAGGTAAGTTAAACTAGAAGTGTAATTATTAGAAACACATACATATGTTAGAAATAAAACGGGTTCGCAGTATTATTTTCCACCACCACAACTTTAACATTTTCGTTGTTTTCTAACTGGAAAGTGTGTTGCTCTATTGGTTCTTTTGCCTCCAGGTCTACGTACGACATAAGGTCTTGCTCCTCGTTATTAAGAGGCATTGACATACTTTGCACATACTCGGAGCCGTCGCCATAATCGCTGGGGTCCAATTCAACCATATCAAACTGTTGCTCATGCGCCATGGGCGACGTGGGCGAATGCATAACTGTGTCGGCTACCGAATCAACCACAAATTCAAGTCCGCTCTCCTGCATTTGCTTCGCTTTCAATGCGGCTGCCGTCTCCAACTCGAACTTTTGCATCTGCATCATCAGCCGTGCATTTGCGTCCAAGTGCGAGTGACGTGCACGTACATGCTTATCCCGGTCGCCACGCTGCCGGAATGTCTTGGTACAGAAGGGGCAATCATAGGGTTTCTCGCCGGTGTGAATACGCTGATGATTCTTTAGTGCATCAGCACGATAAAAACGTTTGCCGCACTCCTCGCACTCGTACCGCCGCTCGCCCCGATGTATGAGACGATGCTGATAGAAGACAGAGCCGGTGAGAAAGCGCTTGCCGCACACCAGGCAATGATACGGCCGTTCGCCCGTATGGCATTTGCGTATGTGATCATTGAGATCTGGGCGTATGGTGAATTTGCGGCCACAGTTCTCCTCCTGGCACACAAAGGGCTTCACACCTGGCGGGCAATTGAACAACGTTACCTACATGTAAGTCGGTGCTAACTGCATTGCCACTCACCTTGGTGAAAACGCAGATGCTGCCACAAATGACTGGACTGAGTATAGGACTTGCCACAAATGTCGCACAGATATTGCCGCAAACGGCCCATCGTGGCTGCGCTCCCACTGTTGCGCAGCTCCTTCTCGCGCTTCTTCTTATTCAGATGCTTCTCCTCGTAGTGCGGCTGAATCTCGTGCGCGTACTCAAAGTTCGTGGTGCAGAACTCGCATGGCAACACAAGGCGCTTGCCGTTCTCGCTGAGCCGAGGAAAGTAGTGATAACAGCTATAGCTGCACGGAAGGCAGAGGATGCTATGCAGATGCAGTTGCAAATTTTGGTCAGACTTTAAAGCACACTTACCGATGCTCCTGGAGCAGCTCCACATTGGCAAACTTCAGTTCGCAGACGTTACACACAAAGAAGCGATTCGGCTGCGCCTGCAGCTGCTTGAGCCCTTCGCGCATATAGACGCAGTCTGTCTGGTAATGGACACTGGCCTCTTTGGCGGTGGTCATTCGTAGATCACAGGCGGTACACTCGAAGCGACGCTCCGGCAGATGCGTGGCCGAGTGCACTAGGAGGAAGGACACATCCGCAAAGATGAAGTCGCAGAACTCGCACTGCAGCACATTGCCGAGAACGAGCGTAGTGAAATATTCGTCCCCGTTCTTGAGCGACATCCTGCCCATCTCGGCGGCCAGAGAGAGCAGATTCTCGCCCTTCAGCATGAGCTCCTTGAGCTGCTTCTTCAGTACAACCTCATCCTCAACCACAGGCTCAGCCTCAGCTGCATCCGTGGGCAGCTGATGCACAAAGATGTGCTCCAGCGCCAGCTTGACGTCGTAGAAGATGCGGCCACAGTTTTCGCATTTGAGCACCACCAGCAGTCCCAGCGCCGAGGGAGCCACATGTTGTTGCTGGATGCTCGTCTGTGTGGGGATCAGGTCAAGGGCGTGCTTCTCCATGTGGCGAACCAAGCCGGAGGTGTGCACAAATTTGCGCTCGCAGATGCTGCACTCATTGGGACCCTTCGTGGTGGTCTTTTTGGACTTGGAGCTGTCGAAGCCCGTTTCTAGATCGTACTTGAGTTCGTCTTTCATATAGCGACGAATGCGCACCTGGTTCTCAACGATGATGCGCTCACTAGGCGCTTTTCTGGGTGGCGTGGATGTCTTCTTCTCCTGCACTGCTGCCGCTCGAACCGTTGGCTTCTGCTCCGAGTCGTACTCACAGCTGTGATCCTGAAACGAGGGCGTGTCGAAGAGGCCATTGCAATTGGAGCACTTAATAAAGCGTAAAACGGTTGATTGCGGCACTAGGGGGCGTGGCTGCGACACCGATGACTGCGACAGCTTATGGGCCACAGCGTCAACTGGAGCGGCAGCTTTCTCCGGGACTGTCTTCTTGCTGTTCACTCCCGACAGGAATTCGCGCAGCTTTTCTTGCTCGGCCTCGGGATCAAAGTCCACCTTGCCATCGGCCTTTTGCAGTATCTGCTTCAATGCCGGATCAGCCAATGTGCGCTCGACAGCCTCGTCTGCGGGTATCGGAATACCTGACTGCATCTCAAAGAACTTGGCCAGATCCTCGTGGCTAACAATGCCATCTGTCTCATTGGAGACTAGCACAGTGGCACCCGGCTGCAGTTCATCGCTGTTCACAACCAAATCTCCATCGAGCTCAAATTCAGCCATTAAGAACTCACCATCCCCATACAAAACTAAATTCGGATCCATTTTCTGATTGTTTTGTACTATTTATTATTTTGAAGCCTTAAATTTAACGAATTGCAATGCTTTTTGTCAACGACTCTGATTGTAAATGAAGTTTGCAGCAAAAGTCCGTATTAATAAATATGTCAGTGGAAGTGGGAAAAAAGGGTTGCTTTGCTCAGCAAGGTTTCAGTTTGATTGACAACATGGGCTTACGTTACGTTAAGAATTTGAAAATCTGTCAAAGGAAGTCTTGAATCGTATGCGGTAAACCAAAAAGTAGCGGAGAAGTAAATAATTTGATGACCAAAATTGCAGAATTTGAGCTCTCAAAACTAATAATTAATAATGAAAAAACAAGTCGAGACTACTCTAAAACGAGATCTTCTGAGCCTCTGACTGATGTGTGAATAATTCTTACCTTATTTTCTGCTTACACAAGAAACAGCGCATAAACATGTACATGCAAACACACACACGCATACGAAAGCTTGAGGCTTCAATCAGTTTTGTCAGCTTAGCCTATGTCTATGTCTCCCTGTCTATCTCACAGTCTGTCTCTCCGCCTGTCTGCAAGCAAGCAAAGGAGAAGAACTGCAGAAGAGCATGTATGTATGTATGTATGTATGTATGTATGTATGTATGCAGCAGTACTTAAGTAAAACGAAGCTTGGCTGCTTGCAGCAGCAGAGGGTGTTCCCATTGGTCATTTAAAGCTAGACTGCTTGCAGAGAACAGCAGAGAGTGCTCTCATTGGTCACCTAAAGTTCGGCTGTAACGAGCCCTACCTGACGTCGGGCTCAGCATTTGAGCGCAGCTCGGTGTGTGGGTGAGAGCCGCCCTATATAAAGGGCAGCAGTTGCAGAATTTCCTCAGTCGCCAAGGCCCGGTGGGAGTCAATCGTGCAGTGCAGTAAAGTGAAGTGACATGAAGTGTGTGAAAATATATAATGATCGTTCAGCTTGTCATTACAAAAAGAAATTGGAGACAAAAATAATATAAAATTTAAAATAAATAGTATTAAGTAGGTTATCATTTTAATCCATTTGACAAAATTAATACAAGAATTTCGCCCTAGATGTGTACCAAATCTTTTTAATAATTATGACATAGTTAACGGGGTTTTTTCATGAATCAGTTTTCCGATGTTAAATTCCAAACATGTTTCTCTTATCATCCGGATATTTCTGTCATTAACTGACTGATAATATTAAAGCTAATGTTTATATTTAGTTTTTTTT